CCCCCATACCCACCCACATCTACACAGCCCCCAAGTCCCATACCCACCCTTCCATACTCCCCCACCCCTCCACTACTATAAACGTGAGTAAGACTTCATTTTGAGCTATTATGCAGTCACTTCTATATACACCATACAAGCACACACAAATCAGGACAAAAATATTTTTTAAATAAAATTAAAATGCTATTGTCAACGTTTGATTTTTAGTATATAATTTCTTTTTTTTCCAGTTCCAAGACAGCAAACTCTTCCCAAAAGGAATACTTCTGGGGGGCAAGAACAGGGACTTCCAGTGCCAAAGATCAGGGGGTAGGGAGCAGGACTTCCAGTCCCAAGATGGCAACCTGTCAGGGCACCTGTCAAGATGCACAGCTACCCTTGCTGCCCTCAACAGCTTGCCAAAACACATTAAGCGGCCTTCCATCTGAAATAATTGCCTGCCCCTGGCCAACACTCTCTAACTGGTTGCATCTACACGAGACACTAATTGTGCGGTAGTCTAATAACATTGTCCAGTAATGTTCCAGGCAAAAACCATGCTAATACTTTACTGCACAGTAAACATCACAAAAACCAATTTAGAAGTTGGTTAACCAAGTACTAAACTTAACATGGTGTAAATACAGCGCATTAATGAATGTCTAGATGTGCCCACTGAGTACATAAACTTGCCTGGCATGTGAATTGCCTGAAAGTGTAGATACCAATACCACCATCAAGGCCTGCAGATTCCAAATCACCATCTTCAGAGCACACATTCAATTCATGCTGTTCATAGAATCACAGAAAGATAAGGCTGGAAGGAATCTCAGGAGATCACCTAGTCTAAGCCCCCACTTCTGGCAGGATCCCCTTTGTCTAAACCAGTCCAGATAAGAATTTATTTAATCTGCACTTTAAAACCTCCAGTGATAGAAACTTCACAATTTCCCTACAGGACCCGTTCCAGTACTTAACCACACTCAGAGTTGGATTGCTTTTGTTGATATCCATTCTTAGTATCTGACAAAGTAGGCTGTTGCCTATGAAAACGCATTCCTCTCTGAACCAGTTCTTCTCTATAGCGTCACCCTGCTCTGCCTTCTCCCCATCTTCAGACTAACGTGGCTAACCACCTCTCTCATATCTAAAGACTCCTTGGTTGCAATATAAGCCTGTTATGACTTGTCTTGTTCCAAGCAAGAGACAGAGAACAAGTCATTGCCACCCTCTTTTTAACAACCCTTTCTCAGTTTGAAGACTTATCAGATTCCCCTACTCAGTTCTTCCACCCTTCAGAGCTTTTTTTTTTAAAATAGATTTTACTCCTCTGCATTGGGATAACAACCTGCAGGGCCAAACCACAAATAGGAGATGCCTCAGTCGAATACAATCATTTTACTGCTTTTTGTCATTTTAAAGATCAAGATCTTGATCAGGAGGATGTTGCAGATGATAAAAAGAATCCCCAAAGAGACTGAAACCTTAAACTCCACTCCAAACTGTGCCCCACCCAAAACTCTAGATGCCCTGGACATGTAGGTAACAGACAAAGGGATACAAAAGAAAAAAAAAAAATCAACTCAAGGATCAGCATTTCTCCCTTCCTCCATCACGTGAACAGTCAGGTGGCAAATACAGATTAAAGCATCACTGCACTTTTCTACCAGACAGAAATCCAACCCCCAGCTGCCTCCACCAGACAAGACTTTGTGGTGAGTCTGGCAGATCAATTAGTATAGACCTTTTGACCATTACACTCTGTTATGTATCAGAGGATATGCTAAGGGCATTCAAGCATATCAGCCCAGAGTTACTCACCTTTCCCAAATAGTGGGTGAACCGGAGGAAAAAGATCTGTATGGTTACAAGAGTCATGAATGCCTGGAGCAGGGTTTTAGAATACTCGTGGTGTTGGTCCAGAGGTCCAGTCCCTGCATGTGCCCACATCTGGATACAACCAGAGACAATGAATGGAAATTCTACAAGGACTGGAGGCAAACAGGAAGGACACTGATTTCTCCAACAACAGGAGATTTTGGGTAACAAGCCACACAGCAGAGTGCATGCAGATGGAAACCTTGGGATCTGGCATTTTCTTTACCATAGAGAAATACCCCACACAGACTGCAGTACACATCACATACATTTAAAGTGCATTGTGGAAAAGCAAGCTGAGTGGCCAGTGTTAGGGACCTGCACATGGCCAGTCCTGAGGTGCATAAATCTATGACTCACCTCTCTACAGCTCTGTCTAGCAGGTAAAACAGAGCCTGAAGCACCACGTGTTGGACACTTTTATTGGGATGGTGTAACTTGGCAGTGAAGAGTGCAATAGAAGCCCCAGATGGGTCCCGCACACTCTAGAAGAAAGTCAAGAGAAAAGCATAATGAGCAGACAGAGGAAGTGAAGCAGCCTTTGCCAAAACTGAGTTACTAAAAATCTCCTGGGACAGAAACCATGTTGATCTGCATGAGCCTATAGAACCTAGCACAATGGGCCCAATCACTACAAAAATGTAACAGCAGTGGAGGCTATGTACTGCAGTCTGGTGGGCATATGGCACTGCATGCATGACTGTAGCTGATGCATGCAGAATGCACCATATGCAACTGAACACACTGCTTTGGAGTAGAAGGGGAAAGCAGTCTCAATATTAATTTACTTAGGAGCTTCCCTGCTTTGCTCACTGGGCACCATAAGAGCAGGAGGAGAAGAGAATGCGCTCTCCTTGCTCCTTACATTCTCCTAATAGTTCCTTAAAACAAGCCAGAGAAAGCAACTAACCCCAGAGTGTGGAATGAAATGAGCTGGATAGGTGCACCCCACCCCCCACTGCCCCCAACAAAGCCAGGTTAAGAGGCTAGGACTAATGACGACCTAATGTCAAGAACTGCATGGAAAACGCTGCCCCATTCAGGACTGTGCATGCCATCCTCAGGTCTGTTCCTCAGGGTCATCACACACTGACAGCCATCGGGAGAGGGAGAAGAGACTGCTATGAGGAGGTGGAGAGTAGGCTCAGCATCTCCTGCCCTTTTCAGAGGTCCCATCTAACTAACCCAACATCCCAAGTACCTGGCTCAGGGTACCAACTAGAGGAGATGTTATGGTGTAAGCATTACCATTGAGTTCTACCTCCCTAGCAAGACTCACGCAGTTTTTCATAGTCCTCCACAAATCAACTGCCCCAAGGCTACATCCGCATATAGGGAACTACTTGTATAAACTGGGCCCATAGGAGAGAGAAGCGGGCCTGAGCTCACACTTACAAGGATGGTGAACTTCCCGCTGAGCAGCTCAGAGCGCAGAGGTTCCTCGTGAGGTTTCAGCTTCACAATTCCTTCCTTCAGTCTCGTTTCCTATGGGTTAAGATGCACAAACAACCACAGGTACAACAGATGGACTGTAGAACTTCTCATCAACTGCTAGTAATATTTCCTGTTCATCTGGGAATTATCAGAAAGATTGGGCCACTGTCACCACCCTTAGCCACCCACACTGCTCCCACCTATTTACTGACAAAACCTTAGGCACTTCTGACCCAAACAAACTCCCAGATCTGGACACCAGCAGTAGTCACCTCCTTACCTAATGGAGGATGGCCGGAAACACCAGAGACACCAGCACCTGCTCCCAGCCTGGACATTTAGACTGCTTGCAGACATTAAGAAAAATGTCCCCCAAAATCCCGAAGCTTTACTTTAAACTTGGTGCATTCCCTCACTAAGCACAGTGCATGGCCAGAAGAGGCAGCACATTAGTTGGACCTGGCTTGCCCAACTTCTGTATAGATCAGGCACTTCAGTGGGGATTTTTTGGCACTTTTATATAATACCCGATTGAATTAGCCATTAAATAAAAATGCCAAAAAGTTTTGCTGAAGTGTCTGATCTATATAGATGCTGCGGAGCTGAGTGCAACCAATGTGCTTCTTCTTCCAGTAAAGCACTTTTTAAAAAACACATCAGTCAGTAGCTTTAGGTAAGAACTGGGCAATGGCATGGGATGGGTGGCACACCAGTTCAACCAAGCATGGGCAGCCCACGTGCTAGGCACAGCCCAAAGTGGTTCCCTTGTAAAGAAGGCCTGAATGAAACAAAGTAATGCCCACTCTGATGCACAATTAGAGCTGGATCTGCTCACAGAAAGTGAGTTTTCCTCACTCCTTGTTCCTGTTCATCCTGCAGAGGTAATGCAGATACAGGAGAGCAAGCTACAAACTATTTTTCCTTTTGCAGGAACAAACCCAGTTACCAAAACTCCAGGTCCAGTTACTAATGGCAGTACAAAGCCCCTACAGGCCACAGACCTGGCCAGATGCAACTCAAAAGAGAATTTACCCTGAAAAGCCTTTGATACTGAGAGCAGCATACCAAAGGAAAGGAACCCAGGCTGACACACAACAGGGTGGATTTGCAGGGCTGGTTGTTAAGAGAAAACAGCTTTTCACTCTAAAACCAAGTACATTTTACAGAGGCCTAAACACAAAATTGCACAGGGGCGTTGTTGTAGTGACAATGCAGAGCCATTATCAGCTGTGATTGGTGGGCAAGTGTCCAGGCCCATGATACCAATGAGCTAACCAGCTCCATGGAGGAAGTGCCCTAGTCCTCCATCTTGCCTCCATCAGCTTCCCTGATTCAGCAAACTGTTTAAATACGTGTCTAATTAGGTCCCAGTGAAGTCAAAGAACTGTGCCTAGGCTTAAAATCAGACATGTTCATAAGGACCTCACTGGATCAAGACCACAGAGAAGACACTGGTGATGATATTTCACTGTCTCCAGGTTCATCCTGAGGATATTCCACCCTGATGGACTCTTTCAAAAGTTACCAGCCCAGGCACAAAAATCGACTGATCTGCCTTAAACATAGTAATGATGTCAACACTTCCAATAGCATTTCCTGCCCAGGTGACAGAATGTGAGAAGACTGCTGCCAGCACCATTACAGCATGCATCAATGCTCTCCTACTACTGGCCTGGACCTTTGCAAGACTGTGCGGCATCTGCATTCATCTGTGACTCACATCCCAGAGGAGCAAGCCCTTGGTTTGGTTTCCAGACTGGGTTCCTCTTTGCTCTCAGCCAGAAGGCACATGCAAGACCAAGAAGGGCTCAGCATCAGGTGGAGAAGCATACAGCAGTGTTTTGTCAGAGGAAGCTGCTTTTAGGGATTGCTTGCTGCTTGCTTGTTGTGCAGAGGGGAGGGGAGGGGAGGAAGGTGGATGGGTAGTGCACCACAGATGTACTGTCTTTGGTTCTCGGTGAGGAAGAGGAGGGCATGAATCAAGCTGGTGGAGACATTCAAAGACTAGGAGAGGAGTGGGTGAACTTGAGGTCAGCACACAATACAGTTTGGTTCATGGCATAACCAGAATTACTAGAAAAGTCCAGAGCCAGCTAATCTCTCATTACTCTAAGGATCTAGCCTAGGGTCTACGACATGGGACTGGGAATAGGGAGATCTGGGTTCCCTTCCTGGTTTCCTCCAACTTGATCTATGACCTTGAGGGAGCCACTTGACTTTTCTGTGTCTCAGTCACTCAAACCTCTACTCCACTGAGAACTGACACTCTTCTGGGACTTAGAATCATAAATTGGCCTTTTACAGTCCCCTATATTCTCCCACATTTCCTTGGAGGTGGTGAATCACTACTGGAATGACGGAGGGCTTACAAGCCTGGACTTCCCTTTTCAAAGGTAGCTTTACTTAAATAAGTCAACTGAAATGTTCAAGGGCAACCAATGATGCTTGGGATGTCCTCCTAGATCTAGTTTACAGGTAAATCAGAAAGGGTTACACCTTTGCCTGGAAGATCTAGTTCTAATACAAGTCCCCAGCTGACAGCTCTAAAGCACAAGTTCTCCAAATCCCTACTTACTTTGGGAACCAAGGCCTGGCTGTCTCCATATGCCTGCAGGCCTGAACAAGAGAATCTGGCTACCTCCTCTGCCAGGTATTTAGCAACCACGCCCGAAGCAAAAGACAAAGAAAATTTTACACAGAGTAGTTACAGATCCTCAGCTTAAAGTGAAGTACTTCCTTGTGCCTTCCCTTAGCTTTTGAGGAGAGGTGTGCTAGGGCCCAGTAGCAGCAAACTGGGGCAGGGATGTGGTTTTAGGGTCTATAGAAGAAGAGTGGACTGAAATGCTAAGAACTGCATCTGTTGCTGTGGCTTTTGTGGGTTCAGTGAATCCAGATTAACTCTTAACTTTCACATGGGATAAACCACGTAAAATAGTTTCTCTCAGACTGACTAAATTCTCATAGACTGGAAAGGGGACATGCAGCTTCTTTTAGATTCAGAAGGAAAAAATCTATCAGCAATAAAAACCTTTACCTCACTTGAGCTCTGGCCCCTAATGTGGAGCTCTGCTTTCCAAAAAGGGAGCTGTAAACATCCTCTAACAGCTTCTAGTGAAGAGGATTAGTCATGTTGCTTTAGGCACTTCTGGGAAAAGCAGATGCTCTGGTAAGAATGAAAGTAGAAGAACCTCCATAAAATTAGAAAAAGCAAAAGAGATGAAGGTGATTTTGGCTTGGCATGGCATGGCATGGATCAGTAATTCCTAGACATGGGTGGGGGAGTAGGATGCTGGATTTTGGCATGGCTTGAATACAAGGCAGATATCAGCAATCCCTAGGATGCATAGATCTGTAAAGATTTCCTGGAAAAAGCTGTGATCAAGCAGCAGCAGAAGGGAAACATCTGACAGCATAATTCTGGAGGACGAACGAGTAAAACAACATTTTTTTTCTTGCTATCATCATCACAGTAATGGCGGCGGGGGGTGGTGAATATATTGAATACCTGGGCAGGTACATTTTCATAGTGATTTTGCATATCTGCAAGGCTACAGATCAGCTTTTTCACCTAAACAGCAAATGTCAGAAGGCAAGGAAAGAACCCCCCCTCCCCACCCCTTGAGAACAGCTTTTTTGCTGTGCATGAAATCACTGAACAGCAGGGAAAACCCGTGCCTCATCCAACCTCCCCACCCCCCTTTTTCCTCCCAGCAAGACCATTTCTGCTCACATACCCTGTAGGAGTGAAACAGCTCAATGGCTCTGAGGACATCAAACTTCCGGGCCATGAGAAATTTGACAGCAACGTTCCAGGAAAGCGGAGACACATTGTACTGTCCAGTCCACTTGTTAATCTCTTCCAGAAACTGCTTGGTGGCCTATTTGAGAAAGAGACAGAGACATGTGGTAAGAAGAGAGGGAACCGAAACTTACCAGTATTTGTACACGTTAAATCCCAAGGCAAGGGAGTAATTTGTTACACAAACTATTCCAAAGTCCAGTCTAACCCCATTTTGTATCTAGAAATGTAAGCAGGACCAAATGAGGAGGTGACACATGATGGATAAAGATGAAAACAATGAACTGGGAGCTGAGCTCCCAGGCTAATGCAAATCCCCAGCCAAAAGCAGCCTGTAAAACCAGAGAGAGAAAGACATGAGATGATTGGACGCTCTGCAGGGCCACTGTACAGCAGGCTGTACCAATCGCTGCAGCATCACTTTTCATCACCAACCCTGCCAGCCAATGAGACCAGTCAGAACAAACCAGTGCTCTCTGTAACTGAGCCATGAAAGAACCAGGATCACTCATTGGTGCTCTGTGAGCTAAGGCATCCAGTTGCTTTTCTCCTCTAATGCAGGCCTCCAGAACTGGGGCTGCTTGCTATGGCAGCTGAAAGAGGCACAGGGAGTCATAAGATACACAGGTCATGGCTACCTGTGATCCGTTATACCGACCTCCCTGGGCTGAGCCTGCAAAATCACTGTGCTTCAGAAGCCCACAGGGTGGCAATGCAGCCAGCAAGGAGGGGAATCTGCTGGACACCTGCTCAGAATGACCTGGCAGGCCCCATGGTGGCTGGAAGCATCGCAGTCCCAGCCTCCTTCCCTTATCAGGGGTTATTGTTCTCAGCCATGCCCTGAGAGGCATCCCCCCCCCTCAGACCCAAGTTAATCTCCTTCCAGCACCAACTTTGTGCTCTCATTTCTACCCTAAAGTATTTAACTTCAAGGACAGTAAAGTAAGGCAAAGCAACACAGCTAGTGATGTTCCCAGCCCTTTGCTCTGCTCTTCTCAGTCTTAAGATACAAAAGTCTGTTGCATTCTTCTCTGCCTCAAGCTGCGCCTCTGATCCACGATGGTTATTTATATGGTACAGTAAGGAAACACTCATTTCCATACAATAAATGCCAAATACCACCCCCCCACCATCCCCGCAGAGATTACAGTTTAAAGGCCAAAGTAGGCACAATCCAATAATACAACACATGCCCCACATAGGGGAGGTTGGTAATTACTTGAGTGCTGTATGGAGCAATTGGGACCTTCCATCGTAATGGAGGGAACTAGGTGTTTTCTGGTGTGGAGACTGCTCTAGCAGTCAGGTGAGGTAAGGAAGAGGCCACAGAGTAGAAACATGAGACAACCAGGAGCTGTCAGAGCAAGGTGCAGGGAGAGGGTGGAAACAGTGGCCAGCCACAGGCTGAGGGGGGACCTCTGGAGACAGGCCCCTGGCCACAAGGAGGGCACACACACTGGAATGGAAGAAAGGGCAAGGCCAGTGCAGAGACAAGGAAAAGGGAGGCTGGTCAGGGCAGAGGAGCTCTGGATGGAAGAAGGGCTATGCTGAGGGCTGCTGCCAAAAATGGGAAGATAGAAGAGGAGGAAGTTGCAGTATCGGGACAGTAAAGGATGAAACAACCTGGTGGCAGGAACTGAAAATGAGGGACAAAGTTTCAGCAAATGGCTTAGTAAAAGCCAAGAGGAAGGGCAGAAGACCCGAGACCTTGTGGGAAAGTAAAGGACAGTGCTTCTGGGTACAGGGGCAAAGACATGGAACAGCAAGGAACTAAAAGCTCTAGGTAAGATATATGAGTTTGAGGCTGCTGCAGCACATCTAAGGGTTGGGTTTCTAACAGGCCAAGACGTATATTCAGCAGGAGATCCTGCATTCCCATCAGAAGTATTTATATGGGGTTTGGGAGGCAAATCCCATAGGTATTTGCTTTTTAAAGATAACGAGACAACTGCTCAGAGCTGAGTGCCACACGGGCCTAAAAACCAGCTGCAACTAAGAGCCCCAACCCCAGGCATTCCTTCACTGAAAACCCGGCAGGAAGAATGACAGACAGACACACCATATAAAAGGGTAGATGACAAAGACAGAGGCATCAGCAGAAGGTTTTAGTAACCCTGTCCCCACCCTCTGAAACACCACGTTAACTGGGAACCAGTTAAACACCAAACCACAGAAACAAGCTTGACGGACTGAAACAACAAAGTGACCGATGAGGGAAGAGGCTGATGCCTCTACACAACCAGAGGAGAAGCAGTCAGTAGCGGTCTGAGGATTGGACAGCACAGGCAAAGCAAACAAAGGAAGACGAGGGCAAGGAAGGAGGAAATCAAACTACAGCCAACACAGTGGGGCCAGATCCTGCTGCTTGCTACACCTCACGTTGCCAGTGAATTCCACAGGCCCACGTGTCTGTAACCCTGGGCAGGGGCTGCCTAAGAGCCTGTCTTTTCCCCTGTGGGCTCTCCAAGATGACGGTTCACTTTTGTAGTCATAATATTTTTGCTGACCTCCTGATGAGCTTTTGCAAAGATCCCATAACAACAAAACCCCATGTTTTCTGCTGTGAAAATGCAGTGAAAAACTTCCACCCCTGCTGGGATGAAAATAATTTAATTTAAAAAATAAATAACTGACAATGTCTCAATGAAGAGAAACAAGAAAGACGCCAAGAGCCCTTTGGAGAATGTGGTATATTGCACAGCATGACAGAAGACTGCTTGGTTAATCTACACCATTGTCCTGCTTCAGGCTACAGCAATGCCAATCCTCATTATTTTACTGCCAGGATCACGATATTTGGTGTCCTTCTTACAGTACTAGCACCTGGAGTCATGTGAATATGGCTTTCATTTTAAAAGTTTCTAGCTCTAATCACTGGAAGAGAAGTTTGGGGATGTGACTTCAAAACTTAAACAGATGGCAAATAAAAAGAATCCAAAATGCATTATTTTTACAATGACGTATATTTTTAGGGTCTGACTCATGACGACTTTTGAAACCCTGGGCTATTCACCAGAGAGACCACAACTGGTTTAACATCTTCAAAGCGGCCTAAGACCTGCTAGTGAATAAGGCACTGGACTATTTCAGGGCTCCTGGGTTCTATTCTTGGCTCTGACACTGACTTGAAGCATGACCAAGGGCAAGCCATTTAATCTCCCCGTGCCTCAGTTTCCCCTTACAATATGAAAAGATGAGAGAGACAAGACATGGAAGCTCGTTGGCACAGGGAGTGATTCTCAAGAGGTGTCTGTACAGCTTCTTGCACAGTGGGGCACAGAGACTGAATATAACCTCAATACCATACTGCAATACAAACAAACACTGAACAGCTGCACTTTAAAAAAAAAAAAAAAACCACTAAGCAACTCTGAAAGCATCTCTAACTTCAGAGAAATAACAGTCTGAAGCTGCCTCTTGCTGGCCAGCCTGTTGCCCCGGCTCAGAACTTAGGAACCATTTTTACAGATTGGCCAGTACAGCAGGTGAATGATCTAATCTACCATTGTAAATAGCATGGTATTCATAGATGTGACATTTATTGCCACCCTCTCCGATCGCATTACTCCTGCTACTTCCTCTCTGTAGATGTTGCAGTAACCCCTTAGAAGTGGATACAATTAACCAAGTTCTGTGGGATAAGCAGGGACCTTACTCTGTATTTATACTAAAGCTGGCAACACTATGACAGCCTGAACAGGAACAATACAGGCAGTCCTCCACTTGCAAGGTTTCAAGTTACAATATTTATAAATTGATACCCTGTTTCAACTTTCAGACCTCAGTTTCGACTTTACAACGCTTGATCCGACGCCACACCACATCAGCGAACAAGTTTGCCGTGTCGCCCATCTCACTGGAGAACATTTGTCCAAACTTCCTTGGACACTTTCTTTAAGAAAGCAGACAAGGGTCCAGAAAAACCTGCAGCGAAGACTCCTGAGAAGACTCCAGCCAAGAACCCTTCAAAAAGTCCAGCAAAGTCACCTCAAAGAAGTCCTTCCTAATCAATGATTGCTATTTAAAATATAAATACATTAATGTAGCTATATTACTCATCTATAATTGATTGAGTACAAAATTCCTGGTTATTTTTGGTAAAAATAGGGTAGCAGGCCTTGGTTCAGGAACCAACCCCCCATTATAACATTGTTTCCTATGGGAAAATTGGTTCCGAGTTACATTTCGACTTAAGATGCGGTTTTCAGGAACCAATTGTGTTGCAAGTCCAAGACTGCCTGTACTGCCCTAGTGTCTGTGTATGTCACACAGAGGTGGCTACGCTTCTTCCATTTTGGAAGCTTATCTGAACCAGAAGTAATATAGCATGGCACTGGGCATATGTCAATAGATTCTGGCTCTTAGTAGAGCTTACTAGCGTGAACAGAGTTGCAGGATGGTGGCTACACTTCTGGTTTAGGAGATGAACCGTATCTCCTTTCTGGCTGTGTGATCTCACGATGGCACGCCCCAGAGCCCTAGCAAGGTGGTGCCTGCATTCCTCAGAGACAGCTTTAAACTAGGACAGTTCTGAAGTAGTGCAAAGCATAATCACAGCAGTAGCAGCAGCTCATCAACGGGAGCTGGGGAAACACAGGAGGCTGAGAACTGTTTTCTTTCCAAGATTTTCCCTCCTCCCGCATTTTATGGACTTCTACAACAGCCAAGAGGACATGTAGAAACAGAAGTAGATTTGAAAACTTTTAGATGATAGAAACATTAATGAAGTTTCAACCTGGGAAAGAAAAATTTGGTCCAAGGAATAATAAGAAACAAATTATTGTTCCCAAATAGGTACAAATAATGAGAAGAAAATTATTGTTCCCAAATAGATGTAGAAATGCCTAGCAGGGAAACAGGTACCTCCACTGGTGATGGGAGAAAGGGACGCAGTGAGGGGATGGAATCAAGGAAGGACAGAACAACTGAATATAGTACTGTGTTGGTCTTCAGAAGTCTTCCTTCTCGTCCATGTGGCTCAGTTTTGTTGGAGGGTGCAGAAAATAATATGTGGGCTCTGGGTTCACGTAGAACAGAAAGAGAAGTAAGGAACTTCAATTGCATCAAGGGAGCTTTAGATGAGATACGAGATACAGCTTTCTAACTTTGAGGGTAGGCAAGCACTGGGACACAACACATAGACAGACTGCAGCAGTTTTAAGTGTAGGTCAGACGAACATTTGTCTGGGATGATTCAAACAGGGATAATCCAACCTTGAGCAGGCACTGGGCAAAGGGCTGGATTTAAGGAACTCCTGAAGTCCCCTCTGACCCTATGTCTTTATGAGTATGTGAATGAACATTTACTGGGTTTGGGCCTTAGTATCGTTGAGTTGAAAAATGCATAGCCCAGTAGATGGGCCAAAAACAAATAAACTGGTAACAGTGACCAAGTATCCAAGACAGACCGAGAGAACTAAACCTAACTAGTCAGTAGGCTGGGGATGTATTTTTTTTCTTTTCTTTAAGAAACTGTAAGTTTGAGCAGTGAGGAGCCTTTTACATCTGAAGAATAAACATGCTTGCAAAGTGATTCACATAGGACATGTTTTGTGTTTTTTTTCCATAAAACCTGCATGGTCCATGGTGGAAAACATAAAGCTCTAAATCTTTTTTAAAAATTAAATCTCCTTTAAAGCTCCCAGTCCAACAAGCCAACACACTGACTAGGATAAATCAGTCACTTTTACAAACTGGCAACCAAATGAACAATCAAGAACTCCAGTTTTTTTGACTATTCATATAATTTTCAAAGTCAGATTAGGGCCCAAGTTAGTTTATAAGGGATTTTGAACCAGCACAATTGCAAAATTGCACACTTCTGTCAGTGGAAGTGCCCTGGATTTTCATCGGCTTCAGCTCTGTGTCTTCCAGTGTCTCCTTTGGCATTGGCACATTTAAGCCTGGGTCAGCAGTGGAGAGGATTAGTGCTACACTCCTGGGCTTCCCTGCAGCATGAAAACCTGATTGAGAATGCAAGTTGTCTATGTACCTAGACAATGAAGCTACAGGAGCAGGGCAGTGTAAAGCACATTATAGCCACACATTCAACGTAGGACATAACACACATTAAATAAAACTCTGAAGGGGAAAAATAATTCCCAATAAAAGGAAATTAAATGCTTTTCAATTTTTTTTCATTCGCAGAACCCAGGGGTGAGCCAAAAGCTTACAAACACTTTATAAAGCTAAATCTTTGAAATTCATTTCCTCTTCTACTTACCTGCCAAGACCCAAGGTTCACTGCTCTGTTGTTCCCCAGGCAGGCACTGGCAACAAGGGAAACCCTTCCAAGCAGGCAGCCTAAGAGATGACTGCTCCTTGCTGCAGCTTGGACATCTGCATTCACAGGAACAACACAGGCCTCTCTCAACAAGGGTCTTGACAGGTTAAACTCAATGTTTTCATTTCTTTTTTACAATGCCTTTATTTGTGCTTTTAATGCCACACACGTATTGTGTGAACAACTGCAAGCCAAATTCTGATGTGAGCTATGTGATTACAATTCCCACTCAAGTCAATGAAAGCTGACTGCACTTAGCAGAAGACGGAATTTTACTGGTTTGTCTGTGTAAGGAATGTGCCCGTTTGATCACCCAAGTGACTTCCAATAATCCATGCCAAAATTTCAAAACATAGCTATTAACTAGTGCACAGCCAGACAACTCCAAGGAGCTCCTAATCATAGTAGTGTCAGAGAGGACCCAACTAAGAACAGTCTCACCATGCTGGGTGCTACTTAGACACTCGCTGCCTTGGCAACTTCATAATCCAAGTGGCCAAGACAAACCAATAGTACAACAGGGTAATTTGTGCTAGGTCACAATCAGGATGGTTGCAAAGAGAAATAGAAACCAGATCTATTGACTCCCAATCCGGTGCCTTATTCGGTAGCACCCATCATCTCAAAAGAAGTGTTTCTTATATTTTCCCCACAGTAGCTAAACTTAATCTTAAACAGTTTATTTATTGTATTGGGGGTTAAAATGCCTTCCAGCTTAACTTTCTAGGGACATACAACTCCTGCTAAGTGTGCCAGCACAGATCCATCTTTAAATGAAAGCAGGCCTGCACACATCAGCATAAAACCGAACTACCCTTTGGGTAAAAAGAAGCCCTGAAAGAGCCAGAAGGATTAAGACAGGCTTAATAAAGAAGAGTATTAATCAGATCACAAAGGGTTAAACATAATGGGTGGGGATGGAGAATAAAAGATTCTGCTTTTTAAAGTTGAACTTCTCTCTCACTCCACTTTCACTTATTGGCGTTTTTTTTTTGGACTGCCACGCTGAACAGCAGATCGCAGAGCACGATGTCTTTTGTAGTAAAAAAAAATTAAGATTAATATTCTCAATTCACCTCCCACATTTTTACAGCTGTTAAATAGCATGCAGTAAGACAACTCTAAGGAGCTCCTAGCTCCAGTAGGACCTATCTTTTCTAATGCAACGTAGCTCTCAGACTGTCCCATGGTACTGGAAGCTCAGAGTTGCTTAGGATTTTCCTCCTCCATGTTTTCAACTCCTGATGAGAGAGAGACAGAGAAGAAAAGAAAGAGAGAGAGAGAGAGAGACTGTGAGACAGAGAGAGAAAGACTGGCATGGCTACTGCCTCAAACAACTTCTTGCTTCAAAAGGTGCACACACAAAGGATGCTCTCACAATGCCGCTGACCCTTTGGCTCCAGCACACAGGCCATCTGTCTGGTGGTGGTGTGTTTTCTTCACCTATTTAGGATTCAAATATGCTTCCTCCTCCCCCCGCCCCATCAGACAAACCCCAGCAGAAAGGACACAGCCAAACAAACAGGCATAATGAACTGAAGTCACCCATCCCAAAGCAGCAAACAGGAAGAGCCGTTCTGAAATAAAGGAATTTTCCATGATACCAAGCATTGTGCAAGAACAACAAACACTACAAGAAATAAATAAAGAAATAAAGAAAGAAAGAACAAAAAACAGTTAATGCTGGCTTTCAAGTACTAACATCACAGAGGGAACAGGAAAAAATTTGGACACTTGAGGCGGCGGTGTAGCGTGTCACGCAGCTCTGGAGAGCCTGAAAGCCCCAGACTGACTGGAATTATTCTGAGCTATTCAGCATGAAAAGCTCCTCAGCGTTAATGACTTCCTAGGGGAGGAAGTGAAGGGCCTGAGTTTATCAGCACTTCACCAGCCATGTGCGACTGGCCCAGGCTGGGAAAATGTAGGGCTCTGAAGAAAAACCTGACATCATTCCCAACACAGCTGAAAGGGCACCAGGAGGGCAAGACTGCTGCTCTTGCAAGGAAACCAGGGTCCTTCCATTTTCACTTCCCTGCTTTACCCTGCTGAAGTTGTTTGCTTAACAAGCCAGCAGGACCCTTAGCTTTTTAGTTATCCATAAGCACAGCTGCTCCTACAGCAGCGCGTACACAGAGTATACTCTGTGTACATGCTGCCTTTTAAACAAGCGCACTGGAGAGGGAAATGCTCCTTCCCCCTCTCCACCACTCGCCCAACCACCTCCCTTCCCCACTCCCCCCAGGGCTGGCAAATGCATAGCTTTAGTGTAGATATGGTTGTTATTTTCACTGAACCACTGCCCAGACTCCAACCAAAACCAGGTCCCTATTGAACAGCTTTATAACCATGAGGGTAGTTAAAGGCGGGAACAGATCATTAGAGCAAGAGGGTGGTGTCTCCATCACTAGACATTTTTGAGCATGGCTTAGACAAGCATTTATCTGGACTACTTTAGACACAGATGATCCTGCACTAGCTGACCTCCTGAGGTCCTGGCCAGCCCCATCTTTCTGAGAGTACTGGCCATCATACAATCAAGGCTGCAACTTTACGATACAGTGGTGTTCGGTCGCGGGGCTGGTCTACAGCAAAGCTCCTTCTGCTCCTGTCAACCGTGGAGCAGTAGCAGTATTAGCACTGGTGGGAAGTCTCTCCCTTCTGTGTTGGCACAGGTCACAGGACCTGTGTCCACCTAAGTTCAGGTGCCTTTGTGTCCGACAAACCCATGTAGAAGCCATGCCAGAATACTGTTCTTCTGGCACTGAGAGAGGACTCCAGCAGCAAAAACTTCGTCACAATCAGTTCATATCAAAGCCGGCTGGGACTCCAGCAGCTAGCACTTTTCAGAAGAGCAACTAGTCCATAGCAGCTAACTCCCCAGGACTCTGGAGCTTTTCCCAAACAGTGCTGTGAGCTAGGACCTTCCCAAAAAGATTCTGGCAGTGCCCCAGTCAGCACTGACCAAGACTTCAGGTTGAGCCCAAGCAGCCTGCAACCTGCCATCCTAAACATGATTTCAATAACATGAAGTCATTCCTCCAGGGGATGCTATTTGCAGTAGTGTCACATGCTTGATGGTCCTCTTTCCATCACTTGTCTTTTAACTATGCATGTTTCTATTTGTATTCCCTGGGGGAGCTGGGGTGGTGCTATCTTTCCTTCCTGCAAACCCCCTACACCTCCTCCAAAATTATCTCAGCTGAACCCTCAAGCTGGAGACCCAAGGGATGCAAACAGGTGCTAAGCAGCACATTCTAATGCAGTTATTGACACAGGCACATCCTGTTTCCAGCAGATGGTACTTGTGTTTGGGACACTGAGTGCCCAATTGCATAAGCAGAAAGAAGGGAGAGGGAATGAGGCAGGAAAAAGGGAAGCTTGAATTCTTCCCACTGAACAGGCAACACAACAAAAGCTGGCAGCACAGCTGACCAACCCCAACCATCCACAGAAATATCAGAGCACCTCAGCCTTATCAGATGAGGCTTCTACCTTAACCCCTACCAGCTTGGAGCTTGCTCAGAGAATTACCTGAAATTTGTCACACAGGGAGCTCAGCTCAGAAGAGATTTCTGAATCCCAACCCCCACACCCAGAAGTTTGCAGAAAGCACATTTAGTTATTTTGAAGCTATCTGTTTGTGTGGGAGGGGAGAAAAATGACACTTTTCAGCCATGAAGAAAACAGATGTTTTGGATCTGGATTACTCACTTAGCACAAGTCAGTAACAACATGGTTGCTTAAACATTTGTTTGAACCTCTGTTCCTTCACTGAGTGGAAGAGGACAAAGCTAGCTTTGAGTGTCCTCTGCTGAATTTCAGGGATGTAGTGGGGGCCCATCCAGTCCTTGATGCCAGTTAGAGTAGTCTCAGAGCTGCTCATATTTATGTCTAGGTCAGTAGTTCTCGACCTCTTTAGATTCAAGCAGCATTCTGCAAGGTTAGACTCAAGGCCCCTCAGAAAATGCCAGCTCTTATCTTGCTCTCATGTCTTGACTGTTGAAAAACAGAGTACTTTTGCTGCAAAGAACTGTGAAAAACCACAAGAGGCGAGAACGTTTTTGACACTACAGAATCCTACCTGAAGTCTCTGGCAGGGGGCTGGACCCGATGATCTTATGAGGTCTCTTCCAGCCCTAATGTCTACGGAATCTATGAACTCTCTGGGTTTATCTTGTGAGGCATGTGTAGGTGTTTGCACATCCAACAGTGTGGATGCTGTGTGGCACCCCAGGGAGCCACACCACCATGGTTGACAACCATCTGCCCTAGACTCTGGATGGGAATAGTCAGCAAGCAGTATGCTCTGTCCCATCTTTGTCCTTCCTCCCCCTACTCTCCTAGTACTGCAGGCTGTGGAGAGGAGGCAGTACAGAGGTGCTACGATGATTCAGTACCAAGTAGACAGCCCTCTGCACCATGGATAATCCCTGGGGGGTTAAAGTAGACAACAGGGCCCTTTAAACACACAGTGTTCACAGCAGGGATCTGTACTTTTATTTTTCACAATGCACCTTGGGGACTCTCTCTGTAAGAAACAGATTCATTACATTCCTCCCACCCACCCCAAGAGAACCCCCCACCAGCAGAATGCATGTACTCAGCTTATATAGAGTTCAGGATCACATCTTATCTAGACCAGCCTGTGCTGTTCAGTCATAACCACCAATGTGAAAGATGCATGGCCCACAACAGAGAGTAGTGCTATGCCTTTGATTTACAAAAGGTGGCTTTGGAAATTATAGTATAATTGAAAAATGATTTTCTGAGAACACTCAGCATCATACTTTCTTTGCTGAGCTAAACACATGCTGATGCATAATATTCAGAACAGCTAAAGAGGAAAGATATTTGCAAGAGGATCATTCTCTTAGCTGCCTGCAGTTATAATTGATGGGAGGAGGCAATTGAAATCAAGCAGAGCTCTCTCAGTAGCCAGAAACTTATTTTATACAGGGAGAACTTTCTGCTTGCCAGAATAAGCCTCTTTAAATCTTCAGTCAGTCCCCAGCACAGTCCTTGAAAAGGGAAATACTTATGCACATGGGGCCAATTAACTTAGGTGATGAATGGGGGAGGGAGGGAAGGGGTCCCTCTCTCAGAAGGACTGGGACTTTTTGCTGTATAGCAACTTATGTAACAAAATCAGATGATATAGCACATGTACGAGTGCATCCTGGAATGAATAAATTCTGGGATTCACAGGAACTCAGTTGAGTAATTTCTGAGAAAGGAATCAGTGCTCTCCGTTCCCAGTAGATAAGGTCATCACAAGACACCCTTGTTGGCCCGCTCACTCAAGAAGGAATGAATGGTGGTGGAACCTGAACTACACATCCCTGCTTCTCCAGAGCTGATCCCTCGAGGTCTGCAGGAAATCTTACATTACCACTGACTCCATTGTACTATCTTGGGTCTGTAGGAGGAACAGATGATTTAAATGCCAGGATTTAAACGGCAGCTGGGTTTAGGCCCTGCTTTAATGGAAAATATTCACAGAGAATAAGGAAACTGGGCACATTCACCTTTTGCACTGAATGTGTTAAGGCAAGGATTCATAACATTTTGGTCATGGGTGCATAACAAAAGAGATGTTCAATATAGGTCACAGAACAGGCTTTTACATATACAAAAAGAAGACTCAAGTGTCACTCACTGCCAAACTCAAATGACTACTGAACACTCAATACCTACAGTCTTGCTGATCAGCTGCTTCTATCAAGGACGGCCACTATTAAATGTCCCTTTGCAGATCCCAGGTGCATACTTTGTGGCCACAAGTAGCCAATGGGTCACCCTTTGCAAATGCCTGGTTACAAGTTTACTAATGATACCGAGGCGGGTTGGCCTGTAGCTCAAACAAGCAGGCCAACTGCTGGGAAAAGCAAGAGATCTCAGTGCAGTTTCTGGCTGAAACAGATCTGTTCCAGCTAAGGATATAATTCTTTGTTAGACGTCTATGTAGAACTTCTACCCTTTTCCTATCGTGCTTTGCCATTTGTACTCATTATTGCCAGGAAACAGTCTCTCCATGAGTGTTATGGCTTTCAAAACCGCACACTCTATAGTTCTGGAAGCAACACCCCTTTCATTAGGGCTTCTGTTTTCACTCTCACTTTCCTCAACAATCTATTTTTCTCAACAATCCCCTTTCAGGGGGAGATGCTATTAAAGAATGTATGCATTTTTTAATTAAGAAAAGCCAAGAGACAAAAAATGCATCCAATTAAAAAAAATAAGCTAGCCTAAAATAGAGTTTCACAAGTGGCATTTCCAAAACCACTCAATTCCAAGCCTACTCTGCTGTCACTTAAATTAAAAGAGGCTTTAAAACGGACTGCAGAAAGCCAAGTCCGAGAACCTTTGGCATGCCTGCCTGAAACATAGTTCCCACAAAGAAGAGACTTCCCACAGTCAAATGGAAGCGTTTCTACGTTGACATACATACTGCTGCATCTGTTCTTTGTTCGTTTTGCGTTCAGATGCTAGTGTGGTAATACCTGTGGAACTGCAGGATACGGTAACTAGACAGAGGTAGAGGATAGGATCTGTGTGCCTAAGGCAGTGATTCAGGGTGCCAGGGTACCCTGGGGTGCCGTGAGATTCTTTAAAGGGTGCCACAAGGTACAAAGATATAAGCCAGATGCAAGGACATAAACAGATGAATGCAGACTCATCCCTGCCAGCCATTCCTCTACCCCCACTGCAAAGAGGTAAGTAGTACTGTAATAAATACATTTGTTTTCAAAAAGGGGTGCTGATCAGTTCACAGAAGTTATGGAGGGAAATGCCTTCAATCTAATGACGGGTGCTTTGAGTCTAAAAAGGTTGAGAACCACTGGCCTCAGGTCTCTCCTTTATAGGAAGTTTTCCCAGTACAACTATACATGTATAGTTAAATGGCTGCAACTTCCCCATGCAGACACATTTTTGTCTGGAGACTTAGCTTAACCTACTTTACAGTGAGATAGTCTAACCTAAAAAAAACTGCTCATCTTATAGTGGAGTAAGAGCATCCACATAGGGAGTTACGCCTATATAACGACAGTGCTTTAAATTCATACCTAAGCTTACACTAGCATACATTTTCCATGTGGAAATAAAAGCCCTGACAGGCTGCTGTAGTTTATGGAGCTGCAAAAATCCATTAACAAGGAAACTGAATTCAAGGTATGCAAGTCACTACAATGGTGAGGATGCACCATTCAGCCAGGAACTGCAGTTGCTCAGGGTAAAGATAACTCCCCTTTGCTGCACATGTGGAAATCTAGATTGCTCCTGCAGCTGTGAAATGAATAGCTTAGCACTCTGTGGGCCTGAGCTCCAAGCCTGCCTTCACTGGGCCTCTCTTACTTTATGAATACAATTCTCTGGACACAGTTTTATGTTGTACAGACCCTGACCCCACCAGCATCTCCGCAGGGGGCAGCCCACTGAGATATCCAAGTGACAGAAGCTGCAGCCACAAATAATTACAGGCCTGAAAACTTTGCCAGTCATTATCTGGGGATGCAAACAGAGAAGGTCAGTTTCTGGCTCCTTTTCAAAACCAGGGCTGAGGAAGTGTGGCTAGAAAGCAGTTTAACTTTTTCATTTCCTGACTGTTTGTCTCTCAAGTTTTGTATCTTTTGCATTAAAGTATCTTGTTGTCTTTATTTATAGTTATAATGATACAGCACTTTTACTAGAAGGCTTCATTTTTAATGTCTGGTACTTCTCCAAAGCTAACCCCCCCCAATATTTTTTGAGGGCCACAATTTCTCATGCTTGCTTTCATCCTAAATATAAGCCTTATCTGGAAAAGAGATGGGGGAGCATGAAGAAATTCTGTTTAGCTTTTTCATTTAAAAGACATAAAATGTATCCTGTTTAGTAATATAAACAATTCAGACGTTTACTCCCAGCATGACAAAGCTCAAATTTCCTGATCACTAATCTGAAGGACCATCTGGGTTATATTAATGTAACACAGACATAAGATCAAAAACCGTAAGTTTAAGGAAGACCCTTGGCTGGCATAGATAAATGTCTCTGATTAGTATTTATAGTAGAGAAATGCCTCAAGAATCCATATATTACCAGTTTAATGAAGAAAATACAATAATACACTCATCCCTAAGATGCAGGCACTCTTTGATGAGATGTTTGTAAAATGGAATGATTACTGAAGTGGTATTTATACTGCGCTAGCATCCAGCATGCACTGGGAGCTGTACAGGTACATACATTCGTTTTCAAAAAGAGACCTAGTTTCTTTCCCAGAAAAAACACATTTGGAAACTTAGGAAGAGAGAAGAAGAATGGCCCAAGAGTGGAAAGCTAACCTGGGCCAGGGGTGACCTGAGTTCAATTCCTCTGCCACAGACTTCTTATATGACCATGAAAATATCACTTAATCTCTTTGTCTTTGACTTTCCCTAGCTCACAGGTACACTGAGAGGATGAACCTACTACAGACTGAAGGGCTCATATCTTACACTAATGGGGGCCATGTACCTAACAAACAACAGCAGGGGGAAAGAAGATATAATATGCAAGTAGGCAAGTCCACCTTATGACTGAAACATGTTACATGCTCCCCTTATTTTTTTTTGGCTTGCCTAATTTAGCTGTACTTCAAACAATCCAACTTCTTGCCTCTGTCACAGCAGATGTGGGGGCTGAGCATTTTTAGGGAGATATTGGTGAGAGGACATTGGCCTTGCAGGCCAATTCAGAAGATAATTCCAACAGGTCTTTTATCCCTTCCTGCCCACCCCCTCAAAAAAAGCCAAATCCAAAGCCCATTATAATGGTGGCTTTTTAACTGCACAAGAACAAGAAAGCCAAAGTAACAAGAAATCCATGTAAGGAGCAAATGTAAATGCTGTCCCTTCTCTTATGCATAACAGTAGGGTTCTAAGCTATAGGACTATAAATCAGTGCAATATGACAAGATGACCCAGTTTTCCTCCACTAAACCCATACAAATATAGCAGGGATAAGACTAACAGTGCCTCCATTTACATAACATCAAAATGCTATAACAGCTTATGGAACTTTTTATGTTTTTTTTTTTTTTTTTTTTTTTTTTTTTTTTTT